CCCCCCCCCCCCCCCCCCCCCGGTTTAGAAATGCTTATTTATTGGGATAAACAACAAATATAAAGCATACCACACACCCAAAATAGAGTTATTTTGTGTTCTTATTTGGCAGAATACAAAACAAATAGAGGGAAAAATCATTGTAAAGCACGTCAGTCTAAAGTGTTGGAATTTTTTACCTAGGACGAGCCGTTATGGTGATGTCATCGATGTGACATTTTGCTAATCATGATGGTGTTCCTGGCTTTGTTCATTTCATATCTCCTTCGCTACTGTTTTGTTGTCATGTCACCATAACTTTTTACTACTGGTAATATAAAGTGTAGTGCCCTCTTTACATTTGTCCACATTTTGCCAAATAACAGAGTTCTCCAATGGCCCTGGACCTGCACTTACGGGATAATGTACTTCTTCTGGATTATAGAGTTTATGGACAGGTCTAATTTCTTAACTTACGAAATTGATCGATCAGACATAACATACCATTGGACATCTAGTTAAATATTCTAAGCACTTTGAAGGGATTGGAAAGTGTATTTTGATGTCAACATCATCTTAAACTGTTATAGTAATGAATGAAGGATTGCATTATAACTTGCCAGCTTCTGTGATCAGTTGAAAAGACATAGAAGCATACATATAAAGCCATGCATGCATTTAAACAGAGAAGAGCTTATCCTGTTGATAGAAAGATTTCTGTATTGATTTATTCTTCTACCTGCTGTGTGTAGTTCTCGCGCAGGCGATCTAATTGCTGGGTCTTGTATTGCTCAATGTTATCCAGCATCTGGTAGATTTGTCTAGCACGCGGACTAACCCGATCATGCCGACAGCAGCAACAGCATTTGCTCATCCATCCAAACCTAAACGAGCAGATAGATATGTATTTGTGTTGTCAGCTTTTGAATACATGTGCATATTTTGATCCACGTGATAGTAAATCCAACAAGCAAAAGTTGATACGTGTAAGGACGTTTAGTCGTCATGTCACACAGAATAAACTGTACGTTGCCTATACTGTTATTCATCTCTAGTCTACGCAAATACCTTGATATTTTTTTAAAATGTCAGGCTAATCCGCTCCTGAATATGTCAGACATTGAAGACGAGAAGGTTGCAGGTGTTTTCGACAGACTTAATTAAAATCACTTTATTATTAGAACAGACCTCAGAAGCCTTTCTCTTACTTCATACTTATATATGAATCATATTGGAATTTTAACACTCTTCTGGGTTGTTGCCTCCATCACCAGTGCGATTATTGCCCTGATGATGGCGGCAGCAAGGACCTCTGAAACGTCGGTAAACTTCTACTAGACTACACAGCGTAACAACCCAGAAGATATAAATGCCTTACATTAAATATCAGTTTTAATTGGATAATACTGTTTTCAGGCTATGTGCAAAATGAGTATATTTAAAGTTCTTGGCTTATGAGAGAATGCTGTTTTAAAGATAGTGGATGTCTTTATGAAAGTAGCAGATTCCAGATTGATTTGCGACGTTTTCAGTGACCACCGTCTGTTATGCCATGTGCCATACCTTAGTGAGCTTTGTAAATGTTTCAGTATACATATTTGATATTTGGTTGACGACATTACTGATACACCACAAACTAGTTAGACTGATTTCTTCAGTAATAAGATTCTAGTAGGCTGATGGGAGTGGTTATATTTATTTTGTATCTGAGAAAATCAGAATATATATTTTAAAATGAATTTTAAGTAATAACTAAGGATAGATAACAGAAAGTTATGCTTATCCTAAAAGCAAACATGCACATAAGCCAAAGCAAATACATTGTTCTCATGCGTGTACACGTACTCTATTGAGATAATTTCCATTTACATGCACAAAATTGCGCGGACCGTATAGGAGTTTCCTGACATCTTAACACAAGACGCTTCCTTTGGATTCAAAAGCACCGGTTATGAAGTTTCATACTGTAGATTTTTTTTTTAAATGCGTACAGAAATTATTATTGTTGCGTAATGTAATTTTGGGCGAAGGCAAGTTAAAATATACTGCTGTTATGCAATGGATTAGCGTGTGAGTGAAGGATAATTTGTCCTTACCTGTTGTACAGGTACAGCAGGAGTTGAATAAATAAAACCACTAACAGGAATGCAAGTGCAGCAGCTGCTCCAACAGAAATGCTGACAATTTTGATGCGGTAGATGGTTATAGGGTCTATGCTCAATACAACGTGTGCCGTCACATTTGCCGTGGGGTTGGCGGCGAAGCAGGTGTATCTTCCACAATCCGAACGTAGGATGTTGCGGATGTAGAGCGTTCCATTTTCCAGAACTTGCACTCGGGCACTGTCTTCAACACTTATCACTGATAGATTTGAGTAGTGGGCATATGGGTGCTTGGAGAATTCATCTGGCATGGTAGGATTTGGGTTCCAGTGAAGAGCGAGGTTCATGGGCGTGACCCATGTTATTGATGGTGAAGGGCTTCCAGTGAAGGAACATTCGAGTAACCCGTCAGAACCCAGCTCGTAGAGATGCGGTGGAGTAGAGCTTAGAAGTCGCGTAGCTTTACAGTTAAGGCCTCGTAAAGTATGTAACATATTGCTGCGTTTGGCATTGATGTAGGAGGGACTTGCGCATAGCAGTTCATTCTGAACGAGAGTGCGATTTTTGCTCCACCGAAGAAACCAAAGCATCCGGCAGTCACACGTCCAGGGGTTTCTGCCAAGGTTGAGTTTTTGAACATTTGTAAGGGTAGACAAGGATTGTGGAAGTTTTGTTAGGTTGTTGCCACTGAAGTCGATGTGTTGTAGGTTTGAACAGTGAACCAGTGTGTGGTCATCAATTTCCCTGAGGTATTCATTGTTGTTTATAATCAATGTTTTGAGGTTTGCCAGCCCGTTGAAATCAGAGTCTAGCAGCACTTTCAGCTCAGTGTTCGCTATAATTAGCGTGTCCAAGTTCGAACATGGGCTGAACAGTTTTGCTGGTAGGTACTGTAAAGGATTATCACTTAGGTTTAACCATGCTAGCTTGTCCAGACCATGGAAGGAATTACTGGAAAGTTGTTGAAGTAAATTTTTCCCTAAATGTAAGTACTGGAGATTCCTAAGTCCACTGAAGAGATTTCTTGGCAAGTTGCGTAATGAGTTATTGGATAAATCCAGCGTTCGTAAGTCGGTGAGACAGGCAAAGGACTGTTATTGGATAAATCCAGCGTTCGTAAGTCAGTGAGACAGGCGAAGGACTGCGAGGAGAGAGAAGCTAGGCTATTTCCTTGCATGTATAAGGATATTATATGCTGATTTGATGAAAAAAAGTCATCAGGAATGAGGGCAATTGTGTTGTATGATAGGTCAAGAAACTGGAGAAGTTTTAATGGAGCAAATACTTGAAATGGTATCACATGGAGTTCATTATGACTTAAAGATAACTCTTCAAGTTTGTCAAGGCCTTCAAAGATATTTTCTGGAAGATCGTGTAACATGTTCCATGACAGGTTGAGCAGTTTCAATTCTGACAGTGGATGGAAAGCCTTTCCGTGCACAGTGTCCAACCTGTTCTTGCGCAGATCCAACACGTACAGCCTCTGAAGCTTATAAAACGCGTCATGATCTATCTGCTCAATGTCGCTGTTCTGCCAAGTAATATTTCTCAGTAATGCGGCATTGCCGAATGTGCCTGAATGAAGAATAGTAACGTTGACTGCAGTAAATGATAGTTGGGTGAGGTTTATTGGGATCTCTATACCACTGAAGTTGCGATCATGGCAGTTCATTCTGAGGGAGGGAGGTGAAGAGGGGTGGTGTTCACGGAGACAGTTGCACTGTTGTGGGCAGGATGGGCTATGAGAGTAGGATCCCGAGTGTCGGGTGCGGTGGTGAGCGTACGGCTCCGTCGTAGCACTGACCATTGCAGCAGTGGCAGGATTAGAGTTTGTCGTTGGATTTGTGCTGTAGGCACCGCATGGTTGTTGAATGAGAAAGCAAGTTATCAAGAACAGGAGGAGGGATGAAGGTGGAACAGTAGGGGCAGTGGTAGCAACTGCCGCAACATCCCTGCTCCTTTGATTTGATCTCATCTTTCACAGCTGTGCATCATTGTAGGATTGTGTTTCGTGAATTGGCCAGTGCTGCCAACTGCAAGTACTGGTTCTTGGTTACCTGAAAAAAAGAACAGGTAACTGTTAAAGAGTGGCCTCCTAAATCGCGTCAATTCTGACATGCTGAAAAATAGCTTTTTTTTGTACCGAGTGATTATTCTTAGATGATAGTCCGCTAGCTGTAGGTCCTGAGGACTACCTAGAGAGCCCCCCCCCCCCCAGTTAGGTTACCATTTTCTTGTGGGATTTATCATAGAATTCCTTATGAGAATCTGATGTCAGAATTAATTGCTGTGGAAAGATGAAGTGTTTAGTCATTATAGTTAAGTGTCATGTTTTGTGGCTAGACAAGAATTTTGGCAAATTTATAACAGCTTTAGATTTGAGGTTTCTGTGGTGATAAGAATTTGGATGGAACTCTTCAGGATTGTGAGTCGTTAGCAACATTTTGGTACAACCTGTTTTGTACATTTTCATTTTCAAATTTCTGCCTTGGAGATGTGGATGGCAGGTTTCTTGAAAACCTTGCCAACCGCCAAGTCCTCACCGCGTCACAGCCCGGACAGCTGTTTTACTTTTCGTACTGTTGTGCCAGCTGCGTGTGTAATTAGCTTCTCCTATTAAATGTGCCATATACGTATTATTGTACGTGTTGATTTTAATATATGCTTAATATTTTTAAACCTTGATATTAAGGTCTTAAATTGTGATACGAGCATGTTTTATGATGCATTGTAATCCTGATGCAAAAACAAGCCATGTTTTGGCAGTCATGTAAAGAGAAAATACTTTCATTAACATATGGCCATTTATTTAAGTCTCCCCATTGAACTGGGCGCATACTAGAAAGTCTTACTGTATCCCATTATTTTGGCATATTTTCATTCACTACATATCTATCGTGCTTGACGATACGCATAGCAGAAATAATTTCCTTAATTAATAATCCACACGTATTAGATTGGTTGTGTCTTAGTAGTGATACTTTGACCAGTGGTTCTTATCATCTAATTTTTATGAAGTTTGAAAAGTACCTCGTTTTATGTAAATCTGAGTTCATTAAGTTATAACCATGTAAAGCCCAGTGGTAACTATGTGTACCACCAGTTTTAAAAATTATTAACACAGCATTTTGTACTCTGTGTATCAGAATAGACTGCAAATTCTTTTACTTAAATTGCATTAACCAGTTGATCTTTGTAATGGTGACGTGTTTCCTTTGCAGTACGGACTGAATTCTTAAATATTATTTAGATGAGGTTCGGGCTCCAGAGAGATGAAGTTTGTGTATTTATTTTTTTAATGCATCGATCAGTTTTCTTTATTTTTTTTACTTGTTCATGGATCATGTCGAGATTATTTGTCTTATCATTAAACGTATCAATTCAGAGAACACTGAGGAAAAAATTATAACTATACATAGATTAAGTTCGGTATTGGTATGTGGAAGTTCCACTTTTCTCACCTCTCTGTCTTCATGGTGTTAATTCTTCGTAATTTGTGGGCAAATAACAATTATTTATATAGATAACTCCTTAAGAAGGCCGAACACTGTTACAGACTTTTACATCGTGGCGGTAGGATTTCCGCGTAGTTATTAATACTTTCGGCACCCGCACTAAAAGAGTGAACGGAACACAACTAGATGCGACACATCATCATCTTCTAGGGGACTTTTATTTACCAGCCGTCCGCGTACAGTCCACCTCGCGGTCACTTGTACCGAGCCAAATCGCTACTAGTTGCCTAACACCGGCTCGGTCTTAGCACAGCTAGTGAGAAAATGGCCGACAACTGTCGACGGACCGACCAACAGGGAGCGAGGCGGTCTGGTGCTCGGTTGGGCCACTGGCTCGCCTCCTCTCACAGAGACAGAGCGGGAAGATCGCTTCTCTCTCTCTCTCTCTCTCTCGAGAGAGAGAGAGTTCCACTCATCTGAAAGGAAGCATCAGTAGATACCGCCGGTGAAACAGGAAGATGTTTGACAAATGTGTTCCTTATCTAGTCGCTGTTGACAGGATTTTCCTCAGTACTACATTTATCATCGGTTAATTCTGAAGGACAGAATCCTTCAGGAGTCGCGGAGCTTGTCAGTAAGTTCCTCGCTTTTCGTGGAACTCACTGCGGCCCGTTTCTGGATCGTGTCAGGAGCCACTCAGATGCTGAAAATGTCCACAACTTTCTCTTGCGCCATTGCGAGATGTTTCTGGGTCTGGTTTCATGGGTTGTTCGAATAAATTATCCGTTTGAGCATCCACACAGAAGGGATTTTGACGGGGTGAGATCTGGTGATCGTGGTGGCCGAAGGCGACGTCCATCAACAATTCTCGTTCTAAACAGGGATTGTTTTCTTAAACGGCGTTAACCACTTGATGTTTTTAATGGCGAAATGTGATGTTTTCTTTGCGGTACGGACTGAATTCGTAAATATTATGTAGACGTACTTCTTCAACCAGCTCTTCAAGGTTTTCCTCGTATCATAAGATAAGGATCGTTAGAGGTCGTGGCTTATGGAACATCGCCAACGCGTCCTTCAGATGTCTGTGAACAACATTAACAAAATTGCGTTAAGGAAGAAATCGTTTGACTTTTTATCATTTGCCTAAAAAAGTAAAGATTGGAATTGGATTGTAATTTTATCTAATGTTCTGTGTGGGCGTGAAACTGTGGGTGTTTGAGAATATTTCAACGTAGTAACAGGACGGAGAAAGCTGCATTGTGAGTTTAATAATTTGTACTCTGATATTATTGAACTGGTAAAGTGAAGGGGGATGCGATGGGCTGGACTCGTTCGACATATATAAAAATACATAGAAAATTTTTGACTGGAAGAGACCTGGCGATGGACACGAGGATATTGTTGAAATGTTTTTTAAGAGAACTGGGATGTGACAGAATTGTATTCATCTGACTCAAGATACGGTCTGGTGGCGGGCAGTTATTGAACACGATAATGAATCCTCGGTTAGTTGCTAATTGCTGCTTTTTAAACAGCTGTGAGGAAATTTTGTATTTGCATGGACAAATGAATAATTTCTTCGGAGCCTTTTGCTGACGTAGAGCATCGAGTTTCTGACCTAGTCCCGTTGAAGGTCGTTGGGTCAGGAGATGGAGACCAGGGGCTTTCAGCATTGTTTTGGATGCCCTGTCGCCGCCACTGAACGGAATTCCTCGAATGAGGCCGGAAACAACCGAACTGCACCGCGTCTATTGATTACGCCCCCCCTAAAAAAAACCAGAGCTCGGTGTTCCTTTATTTTGTGATGTGCCAACTACTGGGTTGTGTAATAGAAGGATAAGGTTAGCAGAAGAGTGGAATTTGCAAAGAGGAAATTGGTGGGAGAGACTTCGATTTCAGGGGGGAAGAAAGAGCATCTTATAGTTAGAAGGTCCCCAGGCAATGCCCGCTCGTCCTTCTGGTAGGAATAGGTTTAGTAAGGGCAAGGGATTTAGAAGGAGACAGGATGGGGTAAGAAATGGAGAGGGGGAGGTTGATAAGGATCTTTGCGTTAATTTTGAATTTTGATATTGGCCTTGGAAGGACGGCGTTTGGGAAAAGATTTACGTTAATGTTGGGGGGGGGGGCTACTATAGAGCGGAATTTTGATGTTAACACTGGGGGGCTGCAGAGCAAAGTGGAATTTGGGTACCAACTCTGCATTTGCCCCTAGGACCGAGGAAAATCACGGAAAACCTTGGTCGAGTTGGCCGGTCGCAGGACCTTCCGGATGCGCGCTGACTTCTAGCCACAAGTCCGGTATTTAAAATCGCGAGCCCTAACGGTAGCCTCTGTCCGCGCGCTCCCTTTATTAAAAATTCATACTTCTTTTTACATAGATTTGTTTTGGATAGGAAACGACCAACTCGGTTCGTTGCGTATCCAATTACAATAAAAAAAATAGTCATTTTCCAGAAATCACTTTTCCATTTTCTTGCCGAGGTCGTCCTGTGTCCCAGCGCAGGGGATTGGTCGATGTGACAGCCTGTGGACTGGACCCTCCGGGGTACCTGAAACAGACTGGTGGTGCTCTGTAGTCTGAATTACTTTTAAGAATCCAGTCCGTACCGCGAAGAAAACACCACACTTCACCATTAAAAAGATCAACTGGTTAACGTTGTTTAAGGAAGTAATCGCTGTTTACACTGAGAATCATAGTTCGTCTGATTAATATTAAAGAATTCAGTCCGTACCGCGAAGAAAACACCACACTTCACCATTAAAAAGATTAACTGGTTAACGTTGTTTAAGGAAGTAATCGCTGTTTACACTGAGAATCATAGTTCGTCTGATTAATATTAAAGAATTCAGTCCGTACCGCGAAGAAAACACAACGCCTCACCATTACAAATATCAAGTGGTTGACGCTGTTTAAGGAAGTAATCGCCGTTTACACTGAGATTCATACGAGACGCATGAACGCGGGTTAAAATACAGAATTACTGTCGCCGTTAGACTTTTAATGGTCAAAGCAGATTATTAATAACAGTAAAATCTGTCTATTGGAACGTCTTTATTCCCCAAAATTTAGAAGTAAATCCAGTGCAAAGAATTGTGTCTAAGATGGCTGTCGTCTGGGTTGTAGCGCCGTGCAGTCTGGTAGACATTTACCAGCGTATCATCGTCTTCCTGATGACAATCGCCGTGGGAGTCCTAATTATATATCTAACTTTTTAACGCGAAAAGAGCAGATAACAGGGATATAACGAAAAATAATCCGCTGTAATGTGAATTGTTTTCTGTTTACGTAATTTATTTTCTACGTTGTTACCTGAAATTTATACGTAAGTTCATATTTCTGTCAAATGGGACAAGGTTAAAATCGTCCTTTAGCAAGTATTTGGTGTTAGGAAAACCGAGACGCTCAATAGTCAAAAATGTTGAGTTATATAATTTCTGCGTGCCGTAAACGTCGGTTTTCAGGGATTAGTCTTACCATACCAGACAGCCACCGCGGGATGAGTTGAGAAATTTTCGTGTTACATCTCGGGACCCTTGCATGCTGCTGTATCCAAAGCGTAGCCCCCGTCCTTGGTTTCAAAGTAAGGATTTTCTCGTCGCGTTTGTTAAAATCGTCTAACGAGCAACGCGAGAGAACGGGACTAGAATTCTCGGCGAACGAAACGGAGGGATCAATAATGACCTGGCAGTCAGACATCCGGAGTATTCTGAGTTGAGTTAACTTGCATTTTGTCCCTTTCCGGACAATACGCGCCGGAATAATAAGTACCGGCATTGTAATTAATATATGGTGACCTTGGTTGTTTCTGTATATAAACCGAAGTTTCGGGGCTGAAGATGCAGGTAGTATGTTTCTCCGAAACGTCGGTACCTGCATACAAATATATACGGTGTTACAACCAAAAGCCTCCATGTTTTGATCGTCGAATGTTTTGGCTGTGTTAAAAATGACGCTTAAATAAATGCACGTTAACTTGTGGTCACGTGTTTGATTTGAGAAAATCCCCTTTTTCGTATTTTAGCTATTGGCAATTTGAGATCTCCATTTGTACGAAATTCGAATAATTCAGCGTTAAGATTTATCGGCGCACTGCACTCCAGAATCTGCGACCCTTCTAATTTGATAATTTAGATTCGTACTACGTATTTAATTAATTATTACTTTCCTTAACTTACGCTTTTGTTAATGACAAGACAAGAAACAACGCGGGATTTTTTTTTGCGTTAATTTAAAATAATAAATGAGGTTTTCTGACCATCACGAAAATATATGTCGGGACAGTTGAGAATTATATCCCAAAATTCTGAGACGTCTGATTACCTTAATGCATAAAAGTTTTATATTTGTTTAGTGGCCAGTATTTTAAACATTTTCGTGTAATTCAAGCTACTGAAAAAGCGTAGTTAAATGTTCTGGATATCAGAATTTACAGGAGCAACCAAATATCTCCGTAACCGTAAAGAAAGTCTCAATATTCTATGCCAGTCACGTAAGTGGTTGCCGGAGAACGAGTTTAAATTATAATGGCTGAGCAGACAGCATTGAACAGAAGTGTTAGTTAATTCACACTTAGTTCGTGCGTTAATACTCGGCAGGATTTGAGGTTCTCACGGCTGTAAGTCTTGAAAATGACTGTCTTCTGGGTTGTTGCCCCCGTGTAGTCTGGTAGAAGTTTACCGACGTTTCGGAGGTACTTTCTGCCTCCATCATCAGGGCAGTGAGTGATGATGGAAGGACCTCTGAAACGTCGGTAAACTTTGAACTCTGAAATATACGACAATTTGAATTTTAAGGTAGGACTTGCCTGCACAAATGTTCGACATTGACATTATCTGTTCGCAGTTGTGCGCGAAATCGATGTCTACATCTGAAGGTTCTCTCTCTCTATCTCGCTCTGTCGCCTCGTGAAAGAGGTTTGACCTTGCGAGTATAAGCAAAACAACATGGCGGACGAAAAAAAACATCTGTTCACCGACAGAATTGCGTTTGAGACTGGTGACCGCGTGTCGCGCATTCATAAGAAAATTCTAAGACATTTTCATAATCATTTTTCTTTGTGACGTCGAATCAGTGATTTGTGCAAGGTCTTTTAGTCGTATCCATTTATTCTTTCCGACATCTTACATCCAAAGACTTAATCAAGTCTCGTAGTTTAGGGAGTTGGTCAACAATTAATGCCACGGAACGCGGTTTTGAGAAGCTGATAGTCACTTAGCTGGTAAGCAGTGTTTCACGTGGTGTGACGATATTTGTATGCAGAAGCGCGCCCCAAAAAGAAATGTTCTAATTGACCTTCGTACATGGACTATGTTCGTGTGTAGTCCGAAGCCAGTGGAAGTCGAATTAT